ATTTTTTTTTACATTTTTTCCTTGGAGACATGATAGCATTTCTCAAATGACTTGACCTCAATGTTTACTTTAAGATTAAAATTAATTAACTTCATCTTAATTAAAAAAGAATTTTGAGTGTATTTTTCTTGAATATATATAATTGGAATTAAAACTTTTTTTATTTTTTTAAAAAATATATTGAGAGGTCGGCAACTTCTCATTTTTTATTATTACTAATTATTTATTTATTAACTCTATTTCTCCCCTCGCTTTTCTCCCCATGGGGACTTATGGTGGCTTACAAAAACAGGACACAACCAAATACATTTAAAACCTGGCAAATATAGAACTTAAAAACTATTAAAAATGTAAATATTTGCATAATGGAGAAAGTTAAAATATTCATACAATTGAAATTACATTTAAAACTAAATATCCTCCCCAACTCTCATCCACAGCCTCCCCAGCAATGTGCCCCTCATCCTCCCCCAAATGCCTGATGGCAAATAAATGTCTTAACTTGCTTCTCTAGGAACAGGTGCAATTGCTGCACTATCCTTAACTGTGCAAAAGCACTCCAGGTCACTACTGATACCTGGGGCTCCAGGTTCAGAGCCAAATCCAGAAGTACTCCCAAACTGCGACCCTGCATTTTCAGGGAGAATGTGACCCCCTTTAACACAGTCTGACTCCCTATTCCCAGATCGCCAGAACTCCTGCTGCCGCTCTGGGCCGGAGTGAAGAGAGGGGAGGCCAGAACTAGCAGGGGCACACTCCCCTTGTCCAGTTCTCTGTGTAGGTCATCCATCAAGGCGATCAAAGCTGTCTCTGTGTCATAACCAGGCCTTAAACCTGACCGAAATGGATCTAGAATGATAATCCATTCAGGATATAAACGTAAACAACATTGTGATAAAAATGTCCAGTCTGGTGACTTAATGGATTTTTTAAAAGAGAATCAATAGAGTCTTCTAGATTTATGAACACATGACTTTTTATTTCCTTAACATAAACCTCATTTTGTTTCTAACAGTAATTTTCTGTATTGATTCCAAAACATAGAATGCGTATTGTGTTGCTCCATCTGTGTTTAGAAGTATGTTTTCAGCTTTAGTGCGTAGTGTTAGTAACTACAGTATATTATGGATGACATTTAAACTTTCTTAATATACAGACTAGAACACAGGAGACTCATCTTTCTCAACATGTTTGCTTTATTTGATGTTGATGAACTTAATTTTGAAGTCTTTTAATCTCTACTGGCACTTGGGGATGTAAGCTAAACTTTAATTTTGTTTGCTGTGAAAGCAATCTCTAGAGAGAGAAAGAACATGAAATCCAGTCTTCATTACTGTTTCTCTTATGTGTATGTGTGCATCAAAGACTATGTGTTTGTCTTCCTTTATGATCACTGAAGCAAGAATTACAAATTTAAAATAGGTTATGAAAATTGTAAAAATTGTAGAAAAATTATTAGGAAAAAAACATTTTTGTCAGCCTATACTATAATTAAGTGGTATCACAGAGTAATACTTCATATGTCTAATTAAAAGCAAGTCCTGCTAAGTTCGGTAGGATTTGCTGTCACTCAGGTTAGGGAATAGTCAGATTGTATCCTAAACAGTCATAAGGATGAATGACTGCCTGTGTTTTCCAAGTTCCAAGTTCCAGTCATTATATATCTAAATAACACAATTCAAATATTAGAGGGGGTTGTGTGAGCAGGACTGGAGAAAAATACAGATGTCTAAAAGATGAAAAGAACCTATTTGTGGGGCCAAATGTAGCACAGTAATGACTGGTCAATGGGCAAAACTGGACTGACAATTGCATGATAGACCGTGAATTGATATTTCCTGAACAGGAGAAGTACACAGACACAGCTTTTGCTTTGTAAATTCAGTAGATCACATTTATTTGACTTCTGCCTTTTTCTCCTTCTCCACTGCTCCCAGCTATGTTGTTAGCCTTGCTAAAGAAAGTACTATGTTTTTATGAAGGCATCCAATTGCTCAAAGTTTGAACTTTTACAAGGTGCGACTGAGCTGGTTGTTTACTTGAAACCAAAAATCCAAAATATACTCTGTTTTCCAAAACATTTTGAATTCTGATTTTTTTGTTTTGTTTTCCCTTTTTATTTTCAGTTTAAAAATATATCATCTCCAAGAAATCAAATGGTAGAGAAAGAGTGGGCAAAACAATTTTGCAGTAACATTGATAAGACAGCAACAACTACTGTCTTTGTTGGTTACCTTCAAGTTTTTTCTGACTTATGGAAACCCTATTATGGGATTTTCTGGCAAGATTTCTTCAGAACAGGTTTGACATTGTCTTCCTTTGAGGCTAAGAGAGTATGATTTGCCCAAGACCATGCAGTAGGTTTCCATAGTTGAGTTTACCCTGGTCTGCTAGAGTTTTAGTCCCAACACTATAGCCACTATGCTGCATTGATGCAAACTAAGCCTAAAGATTGTTATAAACAAGCCATATATTAAGTTTGAAGTAGATGATTATAGGATAGGCATTCAAATATAGATAGAATGAAATCTTGAGAACATTGACTGACAAGTGTTTTTTCTCTTTTCCTCATTGAGGTATGTGTTTTTTCACAGCTGTAAAGGCAGTGCTACTCAACATCTTTATCAATGACTTGGATGATGGAGCAAAGGGCATGTTTATCAAATTTGCAATTAACATCAAATTAGGAGAGGTAGTTGATACTCCAAAGGACACGCTTAGAATCAAAAATGGCCTTAACAAATTAAAGAGCTGGATCAAAACTAACAAAATGAATTTAAACGGAAAGAAATATAAAGCACCACACTTAGGCTGAAGAAATGAAATGACTATATAGGAGGCATGATACCTGGCTTGACAACAGAACATGTTAAAGGGATCTAGGAGTCTTTATAGATCACAAGCTGAAGAGGAGCCAACAGTATGATGCAGCAGCTAAAAAAGCCAGTACAATTTTGGCTTCATCAATAGGGAGTATAGGGTCGTAATCAAGAGAAGTAATAGTATCTATTCTGCTTTGGACAGAACTCACTGCGAATATAGTTTTTAGTTTTGCATGCCCATCTTCCTTTTTAAGACTTCCTATCTGTATTAGCCCTGTGGAGTCATTTGTGAGCCAAAATTTAATCTGCCACCAATTCCTACCCATGAACTAGATATGGAGACAGATGGGAAGAAAATGCAGTTGGAGCTGGTAACAACCACTGCCGCAATCTGTTTGCATACAAACAAGAGGACTTCATGGGCTGCCTATGGCATCAGTGTAAAATATAAATTCAATATAGTCTTGGATTGTGTAAGATAATTTCTTTAGGGGGAGCCTGCCTCAGCGGGAGGAGATAATTTAAACAAATGCCAACCAGTTGCCTGAAGAATCCAACCAACCAAATAACTATGAAAGCCTAGCACAGAAGCACTGTTAACAAGAAAACTAGCTCTTGTTAATTTGACGGAAGTGTTTGCTGGGGCATTTGCTAATATATCAGGCGTTGCTCTGGAGGATCCGCATCTGCTTTCCACTTAGAAACAGGTTTGAAGTATGTTTTATGATCGCAGTGGATTTACTGCATCCTTATTGCTGTTACTGCACAGAACAGACAGAAGCCACTGCCCCCCCCCCCCAAATAAATGCCAGAAGAGAATATATGAGTTGCAAGTACAGATGGTTTGACATACAGCTGGTTATGGCACCTAGTATCTCCTGTTGTACATAACATTTACATTTTTTGTACTTAAGAAACTCCATGGACTCGACATGAAAGAGATGAACACTATGCTAAGTACTAGACGAAGGAAGAAGCCATATGTTCATATCTGCTCCACTAAACTATTTGATTTTAGTATTTCTGTTATCTCTAAGGGCAGTGCCCCCCTCCCAAGGCCACTCATATAAGCAATTGCAAAATTAAAAACAGTAGTCTAAAATCATTATACAGCCCTGTGCAGCAGTTCATATAAAACCCAATTAGAAATAGGGCATGGTAGCAGGTGAAACTGCTCAGAATGAAGCCCAGCACATAGTAGCACACCCAGATGTTTTCATCTGGATAGTTTAGTTTTATATTGTGCGGTGGGCCCCTTGGTAGTCATTGGGGTTTGGTTCCAGGATTTTTCATAGAAACCAAACTTCACAGATGCTGAATTCCCATTAAATACAGTGGTGTAATATAATGGTGCTCTTTGCATAAAATGACAAAATCAAGCCTTTCTTTTTGGATTCTTTGTTTTTTTTAAAAAATGAAACGATTGATGGTTGGATTTGTGGAGACAGAATCCATGGATATGGAGGGCTGATTACTGTAATTTGATTCTATTTCTACTCTACACTCTTCAGCTCTTGTCAGTGTTTACAGTGCTATATAAATTCATTTAATTTTTTTTAAAAAATCTACACCATTCTGGATGTACGTAGTTCATGCATTATTTGAAGAAATAAATATAAGATTGCTCCATGTCTCTTCTATGCAGAACAGAAATGAAATTAAGAACCCAATTAAGTGCCCAGTGATCACCAGAGCCCTACTTCCAATGTGTTCCAACAATGCGTTCTAGAGCACAAAAATGGATGCTCCAATTAATCTCCTGAATACCATGTGGGGGGTCTCGGATTTCCTCATGCCAATGAATACTCTGTAGAATTTGTTACTATCTCAGAAAACAATACTAGATGTGTGTTGGCTTCCAGGGTGTCAATTTTTTCCCTCTGTTTCCCCATTTTTTAAAAAAGAGAATTGACTATCCTTTGTGGTTCCTGGCAGGTTGTCAGAAGAGAACAATGATCGGTTTTCAGCACTAGATTATATGCTTTTATAGTGTTTAGAAGTGCTTTCAGAATTGTTCTGCTACTACAAAGCTCAGTATGTTACTGCAAGAAATTGCACAATGACATAGATAATGCTGGTACATTTATCTGGTTTGACATTAAGCACAGTACATGATCGACAATTTTTATTGTAAAGGTTTCCAATATATTAATTAGATTTTTTTCTCCTTCGTTTTAGGGAACAGTTGTCATTTTCTCTCAATTAACTAGACTTGGAAATGGGACACCTTTCTTCAAAATTGTACTCCAAGGTATCAGAGCATAGTTTTCTCAGTTGTCTTCTGCATTCCTTATGTGCATGGAGAGCCCAAAGATGCAGTTGGAAAACCAAGAGTACAAAGCTTCACAATAAAAGGGGAGGGAACCACTATAAAATATTGACAAGAAATATTGGGGCCTCCAAATGACTTGGAATTTTCCCTCCCATAATTTCTTGTTCTTGACCCACCTGGACCAGACCTTCTCAAAGTCAGCATATCGGTAGAGCCACGTGTTCCTCTCCCTCTCATCTAAATATGTCTGTGTTAAATGAGAATTGCTTATGAATTGGTTTTTGGTTCCTTCCCCTTTGTGGATGATGTGAATTTCCCAATGCCTTGTGCTTCATTAGTTGTGAAAATGAGGGCTGGAAAGCTTTCAGATATCAAACTGCAACTCCCATCAGCTCTTGTCAACATACCTAACTGTCAGCAATCATGGAAACTGAAACATCCTACATGTTCCTGTACTGGATATAGCTCAATAATTGATCTAGATCAGACATCTTCAAACTGCAGTCCTCCAGCTGTTTGGGCCTCGTGACTCCCAGAAGCCCTAGCCAGCTTGTCCAATGGTCAGGAATTTTGGGAGTTGGAGACTCAAACAACTAGAGGGTTGCAGTTTGAGGTGGGCTGATCTAGAAGAAGGCTTTTATTCTATACCTGCCTCCAATTTATTCTGTTTGTTCATTTGAACACAGTACATGCAGAGTTGGGTTATTGATGGGGAAAAACTGCAATCTGATATCTAGGATACATTAACAGAATGGGTTAATGTATTAGTGGGGAAAACCTGATACTGTAAAGCTATAAATTAAATTTGAATTCTATCTTTTATGCATTTCAAAAGGATGGAAGGAAACCACAAAGACAGTTGTAAGCCAAATCATACTGCTTTTTAAATAACAAGTTTTAAACCATACTATTTAAAAAAAAAAACCTTCTAGATCTTGGCATTGGAATTTATGAAGTTTTTTTTTTAAAAAAATGAAAAACATGATCTTGTACAAAGTGTATATCTTTCCCAAATTCCATGTTTGAGAGGAAAATCTCTCTTTAATCAGCCCGCCCATTTTAACTACTGATGTTAGTTTGATGGGAGAAGCTTATTGCTTGTTCTTATTGACACTGCTCCAGTGTCCCTGACCTCTCCTCAGCATTGCTGTACTCAGAGCACCTTTAAGCCTGTGCAGAATTGTTCTTTGTTTTAAAAAGGTAAAGGTTTTCCCCTGACATTAAGTCCAGTTCTGTTTGACTCTGGGTGGTGGTGCTCATCTCCATTTCTAAGCCGAAGAGCCGGCGTTGTCTGTAGACACCTCCAAGGTCATGTGGCCGGTACGACTGCATGGAACACCATTTATTGTATTCTGTTGAATATGGCAATACAGTCAGATTTACAAAAACAGTTAAATGAGACCACAAGGGAGGGATTATGAAGAAGCCTGAAGGATCCAAGTTCTAGTTCAAGTGGAGACCCCACCTCTTGAGTTTAAAATAGACTATGACAACATTGAAATAGTTCAACGTTTTCCATACTTTGACTCAGAATGGAGGCCGCAGTAATGAAAACAGAGAAATAATTATTACAATGTTGGATCCCCCCCCCCCCAGCCCTTGTTTTGCCTAAATCCAGCCTTCTCCAACCAGGTACCCCTTAGAACTGGTAAATAGTGGCAGTACAGTGGGTTGCTGTTTCACCCACGTGTATAGATGTGGGTGAAACGTCAGGAAAGAATGCTTCTGGAACAAGACCATACAGCTCAGAAAACTCACAGCAACCCAGTGATTCCGGCCATGAAACTTGTCAGAGGAAAACAAGTTTTGAGTTCTCTCTTAATTGTTCATTTGCACTCGTTTATGCACATTTGAATAGAACTTAACACTCACTAAATATGTATGTCTTTCAGAATCAGAAAATTCATCTTCCACAACAACTACCATCAATACTTTAGTGTTTGGGAAACTAGCAGAAGACTGTGCTGAACTTATACAACAAGGGGTAAATGTTTTTATTTTTCTTCTTTAAAATGAAATCCTGTAAGTTGTTCTGCTGATCTTATGATTCGGTATGTTTGCAAAACCAGCAATCAAAAACAGATTACTTATGTAACAAAGGGTGCTGCTGTGTATTTAAATCTATCTGTATACCTGGATGATTTTCACCATTGTATTTTCATGTTAAGGTTCTGTTTCAATTTTTTTCATTAGAATTTATTGTAATGCCACTTGAAAAAACAGAATTGTTGTATCATCAAATAGAAGAAATAGGGCATACTTCAAGTGACAAAACTTTTGATAATGAAACTCCTTTTTACAAAGTCTTTTTATTCTACCCAGATCCACTCCTTTTTTTCCCTCATCCTCTGTATGGTTGGAATATTTTTTAGAAGCATTGAGGATATGAAGGAGGGCTGGAGAAGCACACGAAACTGTACAATTTTGTTTATAGGTTTTTCTGTAGCGGTTGGTGTGCGGATATTTAATATGTCTCAGCCATGATGCTAGGATTCTCAGTGGACCATTTTACTTTTTTTTTTTTTTTTTTTTTGCATGTAAGTCGCTTTTTGTTACAGGATATACATTACGTTTTGTATTTTTGCTCTTTTCTGAACTACGTTCCCGCTATATTTGTGATATTACTTTGGGCAATTCTCCATCCATGTTTTCACTTTGTTTGCAAGTTGTGGTGTTCCATATAGCTCTAGATTTTTAGTGTCTTGTTCATGTAAATGTCGTTCTCATTTAAAATTTTGATTGTAATCTTTCAAGTTCTTTTGTCTTCTTTTGTAATGGTCTTTTGTGGATTATACAAACATAAAAAACCTCAAGTTGTTGAAATTCAAAATAAAATCAGACTATATATATTGTAGACAATGAAATACCGTGATTCGCTCTTAAAGAAATGGGCATGCTGCACCATTTGCTTGTCCTAATGCATAACCTGTACTCGGAAAAACAGGAAACCATCAGGACAGAATATAGAGAAATGGAATGATTTCCAATTCACATAGAGCTTAGATAAGGCTGTTTAACATGAAAATTGAATATATCATATATAAAGCAGAATTAGACTTAGAAGAAGGAATGTGAGCAATTTAACTTACACAGATGACACTATACTACTAGCATGGTGTCATCTGGGAACAATTACTGAATACAGTCAAAAAAGAAAATGCAAGGACAGGTTAATAGTCTAACATTAAGAAAAAAATAATGATCCCAGGTGATTTATATCACTTTAAAATAGACTATGACAACTTTGAAATAGTTTAACGTTTTCCATACCTTGGCTCAGAATGGAGGCCACAGTAATGAAAGCAGAGAATTAATTATTACAATTTTGGATCCCACCCCCCCTCCCGGCCCTTGTTTTGCCTAAATCCAGCCTTCTCCAACCAGGTACCCCTTAGAACTGGTAAATAGTGGCAGTACAGTGGGTTGCTGTTTCGCCCACATGTATAGATGTGGGTGAAACGTCAGGAGACAATGCTTCTGGAACATGACCATACAGCCCAGAAAACTCACAGCAACCCAGTGATTCCGGCCATGAAGGCCTTCAACAACACATAGTGGCAGCACATTTTGTGAACATAAAAAGGACCTTCTCTGTTAAAATGCTTCAATTTTGCAATTCCCTTTTCTTTGAAACCCAGTTTGTACTGATGCTGGTTTCATTTTGACATCAGGTGGAAATTATTTAACTGGTTTGTACCTGCATATAGTTTAACTATTTTAACTTGCCTTATTTCGTTAGAGAGTTTTATGTGTTTAGACTATACATTAGTTCTTACTGCTTCACATTTTAAACAAGTAAAGTGTAACAAGAAGAGAACCTTCTCTGCAAGGGCTCCCTGGTTACTGAGGACCAATTGGCATCAACAGTATTGTCTTCCTGTACCAAGTCAAAAGACATTTTTATTATTATTGCTGTTGCCTTCAGGACTAATTCGTGTTACTCAGTTTGTACATGTGCTATGCTTGGCATTATTTTAAAATTGCTTTAATTGATTTTAAATTGTCTAGTTTTAACTAATCAATGATTTCATATATTTTTGACATTTAAAATATCATTTGTTATTTTGAATTAATTTTATTTAAGCCACCCTGAGAAGTTTGGATATTGTTTAGGATGTACACATTTAAATAAATAAAACAAATACACTTAATTGTATTGCACACTGGCTTCAGACTGTGAAACACAGGGATGGATAGTGTTCTGCATCTAAGTAAGTTCAATCAAGGTCTTGCGACTAGCACCTCAACTGGACAGATAGCTCTTTTTGAATACCAGTATAAGAAAATTTTAAAATGCCCTTGATCACTAAACATCTTGAGGTTAGATTTATCTGCCCACTTACACCATATGGTAAATGCCTAATGTGTTGTTACTCTAAAAGCTTGATGCAAATATCCTCCCATTTGGGGGCAGATCAAATCTGCTTGTCATCTTTGCCAGCACAGCAGGAGATGAGCAGAAAGCAACATGCTGTTCTGCTTGCTAGCATCATAATATAGACTGAGTGCTGAGAGGTGATTGCCGTTATTGAATCGGCTCTTCTGCCACCACATCCTGCAAAGTGTCTGAAACTTAATTAGTGGCCTGTGCCTTTCTTGATAAAAGGAGAATTGTTAAAACAAGGCCCCAAGCACCAATTAGGAGATCACAGAGATCAGTACTGGGGAGACCGAGTTGCCAGCCAAAGCCCATGAGCTGGAAACTTCAAACAGAGAGTATGAGCAGCACTGATGTGTTAGAATCCCCTTTGTGGTCTGGGACTTATTACACTTTCTGTGCTTCTGAAATGTCTATGTGATTTTTAAATTTGAGGAGGTGAGTGAAACTAATTTCCATTTTTCCTTCCTTTAAAAAAAAAACAGCTCTCCAGCTATATTTATGTGACTTTGCAAATTAGGGAACCAAATTACTATTTTGAGTAATCAAAATATGGATGCCAGTAGTTCATAGAACCATAGAGTTGGAAGAGACCTCACGGGCCATCCAGTCCAACCCCCTGCCAAGAAACAGGAAAATTGCATTCAAAGCAATCCTGACAGATGCCCATCCAGTCTCTGTTTAAAAGCTTCCAAAGAAGGAGCTCCACCACACTCCGGAGCAGAGAGTTCCATTGCTGAACAGCTCTCACAGTCAGGAAGTTCTTCCTAATGTTCAAATGGAATCTCCTTTCTTGTAATTTGAAGCCATTGCTTCGTTGCATCCTAGTCTTCAGGGCAGCAGAAAACAAGCTTGTTCCCTCCTCCCTGTGACTTCCTCTCAAATACTTATACATGACTATCATGTCTCCTCTCAGCCTTCTCTTCTTCAGGCTAAATATGCCCAGCTCTTTAAGCCCCTCCTCATAAGGCTTGTTCTCCAGACCCTTGATCATTTTAGTCACCCTCCTCTGGACACATCAGAGTAGTGTAAACAGTAACCTAGAAAGAGGTACAGTCAATCCTCCACATTTGCTACAGTTAGCAGTGCAGGATCCCAACCAAAGTGAGAAAAGTGAACAAAAAAGTATTTCTTTACCTGAGGGTACACCTCTCTAGGAATCTCTTTAAGTTCTCCAGTGCAACTCTATGGTCAACTTCCATTGGAGGTTGACCATTGAGTCATATTGAAGGATGTAGAGCAGGGGTCCTCAAACTAAGGCCCGGGGGCCGGATGCGGCCCTCCAAGGTAATTTACCCGGCCCTCGCTCAGGGTCAACCTAAGTCTGTAACGATTCAAAAGCACACAACAACAACAACAACAACAACCCTATCTCATCAGCAAAAGCAGTATTTCACACTTCCCGTTGAAATACGAATAAATTTATATTTGTTAAAATTATTCTTCATTTTAATTATTGTATTTTAAGTGCTTTTGCACTACAAATAAGATATGTGCAGTGTGCATAGGAATTTATTCATGTTTTTTTTCTAATTATAATCCGGCCCTCCGACAGTTTGAGGGACTGTGACCTGGCCCTCTGCTTAAAAGGTTTGAGGACCCCTGATGTAGAGTTTGCAATGGAGAACATATTAATCAAATCTGTGAATAATCAAATCTTCAAAACTTAAACCCAAGAATGTGAGCGCAGACTGGGGAAACAGGGCAAGATAGAAATAAAGTCTCATTCATTCATTCATTCATTCATTCATTCATTCATTCTGTTTTCATTCCATTGTAGCTTCCACTGTTTATGTAATTGTGTTTCAAACATATATAGCTTCAGATGGGATGGGCATATTTGTGTTAGCGGTATGGATGCAAGATACATTTGTTACCAATTCTGTAATGTGTTTTTAAGGATATCAACCTTCTGCTTCAATTATGAAACTACAGAAGCCACATTAGTTTCTTGGAGGGAGTTACACAAAATGGGAGGTGTTATATAATCTAGATGGTGCTGATGAAGATGATTATCAAGATGCAAAATAATACTAACGTAGCTAAATAAATTCCAGCATAATTAAGTTGGATCCTGAGGTTGAGGATGAGTATGAAGGCATTTGGAGTCTACCAGCTCAGTAATGGGTTATTTGGCATCCAAAAATCTGGATCAGATCTAGTGCCTGCTCTGACCAATTGAATGGTTGTGTTCATTTGTGAAGAGTGAAGCTGTAAAGAGAACAGCGTGATTGTGTAAAGAAGTATCAGGTATCTCCCTGGACAGACTTTGAAAAGTGTAACTGCTATAGCTATTGATAGTTTAGTGAATGCAATTTTCCAGCTTCTTGGCAGGGGTTGGACTGGATGGGCCCTAAGGTCTCTTCCTACTCTATGATTCTATAAATATAATAATTAGGTAATCCTGGCCCAGATGCTCTCATATTAAATGTAGAAAAATTGAACAGAGGGGCAATAAAATTTAAAATTCCTTGGGCTATCTTCTTAACACTGTGATTTTGCACAAGGTTATAATTTCTTCCTGGTCAGTTGGGAGATTATGATAGTCCAGTCGGCTGTTTGAGAGCATCAACCCGAGTCACCATCCAAGTTCCAGAATCACTTGTACATCTGATAATATCATAATGTATTGAAGTAAAAACGTCTTTTTTTAGAAACATGAATTTAAATTGTTGTTGGTGGAATCACTGTTAAACAAAGACTCGTTAGAGTAGCTTTTCAAATTCTCCAAGCTTCTATGTTAAGTGCCATTTTAGGAACCACATTGAAAATCATTCACAAATCCTATAATTCTCTATTCCCTTGTGTTTCATGTGTGAGAAATATAAACTATCACATATTTCGTTATTTTAAGGATTTATTTTGTTTTAAGAATTTTATTGAGAGAAATTTGATGTAACAGTAGCATAAATAGGATGTATATGTTTTCCCATTTATGGTGCAGAATGCAATTCTCTGCCCATTAAGTTTTGTTTTCACACTTTTCGGAAACGATTCAATCTGTCTGTATCACTTAAGTTGGAAGTCATTTTGCAACAGAAAACATTAAGGTTTGGGATTTTAAATCATTTACAGAAGTATTGTTGGAGAATGCTGAAGTAGCAAAAAGAGCAGTCATACTGCAGTATTTTTTCTAAAACTGTCAGCTTTAATCAAAAAGCTGTTTTATATATTTTAATCAAATAAACTCATGAACAAAGGTATGGACGTAAAAAAGCAAATGGGAAGGCTTTTGGTACAAGAGTGAATGCAAAGGAAGAAGCACAGAGCCTGCAGATGCATCTCAACATGAACACATCCATCTCATGGTACTTAAAGAGACACAAACAAAATTGAGGCTGTACTTTAAAACTTGGCAATGCCAGAATTAACTAAAGTAAAGTAGCCTCTAAGTTACATTGCAATTCCCTGTACTCAATTTCATTTTCTCAGGCATCTCTCTTAATTTTTCTGTCTGTCAGTAATGCAAGCTATCCAAAAAGGTTCTCTCTCTCTCCCCCCCCCCCCCCCCCTCTTTCACTCTTCCCCAGCTTCTATGGGATTCAGCAGTGAAATAAGATTACAGATGCAGAAGTATGGAAGGAGCAATTCTGCCATTTACTCAAACCAGGGCTCATGAACAAATGTCGCCAATCAGTGACTAGACTTAAACAAACCTTATCAATGTTAGGTTCCAGCACTTCCCAAATTTGGATCCCTACTTATGGCAGAAGCTTTAACTGATATGACCAATGATCAGGGCTTCTGGGAATAGTCTGACATTATCTGGATATACATTTTTAGAAAACAGAAATGTTTACCCCTCCTTTTTCTTTAATTGCATTTTCCATGGATCAATAACTGCTGACATCTTTGGTGAATGCTTGTTCTAGACAACGATCTTGTCTGAGTAAGCAGCTGAACAATATATTGTTTTTTAAAAAATATATGTTCAGATGATGCTAGTCTATTCCCAAAAACCCTGACCATTGACAATGTCAGCTAGAGATTCTTGTAACTGTAGTCCATCTATAGCTGGGTCTCCAAGTTTGGGAACAGTTGGAACATAGTGTTTGGCTCCATCTACAAGGGACAAGGGGTGTGCTGAAGTCTAGCTAGTGAATAGGGAGGCACTTCATGTAATAGATTTGAATAAGAGACAAACAGAATTGTTCTGTGACTGATAGAGGTTCATTTGAGAGAGAAGCAGTAAGGAAAAGGAAGACAGTATGTCTGGGTATAACAAACAGTGAAGTAATTCCTGGCTATGTGGTTGCTTTCCTAGAAAAGGTTAAAATAAAAGTGTAGTTCAGGTTCACTCCCAATAAATGTTGTAAGGAGAGAGTCATGTCTCCTGTTATGGATATATGTGTACAGACAATGTTTACATGAACATGACTCATACAGAATCATATGCAGTGCTGGATTTAGAACAGATAAAGGGCCTGTGACAAATTAAGTTATGAATCCTCTTACTTGGGCCCTGTAGGAGGCAGGCTCTGGTAGGCCTACACCACCTGCTTTGTGGCACACTCCCATAGAATATCAACTCTGCCATTATGTCTGAAATTGCTCCAAAACAGAATGCCTTCAGATTTAGAATTGCACCACATAAGCAAAACCCATCATAAAAAATCTTTTTGACAGAAAAATCCCCCCTCCCCCAGCCCCAACGGTGCCCTGTGCTTAAGCACACCTAAGCACAGTGGTGCAAGGTTGAAGTGATATTTGAAGAAGAAAAAATCACAATATATGGAAAGAAGAGGAGCAATCAATTTCTATCCAACAGTGCAAAGGATACTTTCAAGCCTAATTGCTGTTCAACAAATCATTTCTTTTTAGCAGGGAGTTTCAGCTTCCACTTCCCCATCCTCTTCGATAAGCAAATAGAAGTAATAAAAAACTCTGTTTTCATAAATGGAAGATTTTTTAAAAAGTGTAACTAATAGATATGAAGGGAAGATTTAGCCTCTTTCCTTTAGTATTGAGTTGATAGCATTTAGTGAGATGCCATGGTATATATGGTTTGTTTTCCATGTTAGTCAAATTGTCATTAGTCAGTTAAATGATTTTCTGGATTCCCTTTGTATGTAGATATATGTAAAGGAGCAGGAAAGCTTTTATTATCATCCAGCAAAGTTTCTTTTTTTAAAAAAATGTTGTGATCCTGCTCTTGCTTTCTATCCTTGTCATATCCCAGTCACAAACCACCAAAAACTCTCCAAATAAGACTTGAAGGTTGTAGCCTCCTCAGTTGTTGCTCTGCAGCAAATCGTTTGTTCCAGCTATGTCTGTTTCACGCAAGTATTATTCCATTTATAGCTTCAGGCTAGTTTTCAAACCACTGACATTTAAAATCTATTTTAGCAATCCTTCAATGGAAAGGGCCATTTCAAAAGTCAGTCTTCATAAAATGATATCCCTTGGTTTTTTACCAGTTTGGTTGCTGAGCATATATTCTGTTGATATTGAAGCAAGAGGATTTTTTCCCTTCCTGATTTATATCTGTTGCCTAAGGGAAGATTTTAGAATTAACAGTTATAGTCATCTCATAATTCTTTTCGGAAATGTTATGTTGTATAAACATTAGCATTCACTAACCCTGATTTCTGCACCGAGTTTGTGGGGTTTTTAAACTTTTCTTTTTTAAATAAGCTCTCCTCCCTTCCCTGGTCTAATCTTCCCAGTACCAAAAAATGATTTTCTTACCCATTGTGGTTATAAAATAAATGAAACCAATAGTAATTAATTTTGGTTGTGCCATGCTTCCTTGCTTTTTAAAACAAGACTTGGAAAGTAAGTGAACATTTGCCATAGTTCCCAAACCGTTCAAAAATATTTCCACATGAAATCATACTATTCGTGAAAGAAAAGTATTTCTTTGTTTGAAAAAGATAAAAATGTACTGGCAGTTCCTGAGTTACTAACATCTGACTTACAAATGATCCATAGTTTTACTCCTGTAATAGTTATCATGGTGAAAAGGTGTCTCCACTGAAGATTAAGCACTAATATTTTTTTTCCACAACAAGCCATTTTTTTCAAAATCCAGTTATCACAGGGACAGAAAGTGGTGACATCTTCTGAACAGGGACACAGATAGTAAAACAAACATCACAGGGGTGGTAACTCTTCCCTTTGCTATCTAAAGCTTGTGTGTATGTGTTTGTGTATTTGACTTCGGTTACACTTTAAAACTTACATGCACATTTAACTTAAGAACAAACCTACATAATGTATCTTGTTCATAACTTGGGGAATGCCTAAACTGTTTTTTTCTCCTCAACAAGAACAAATTAAAGAACTGTAAGGACAAAGGGAAAAAGTAGTGACATGTGAATAGATGATGCATTTTTAATTCCAACAGGATATTGTTGTGGTGGCTGGGTTTGGCTTGGCAGAATCCGTCAGTGGAGATAGCCGACATTGCTGTCATCTAGAAGCATCTGATGAAGCTGGATCAACTCTTTATGCAAGTTCATTTTTCCTTCTCCCTTTTTCCTTCCCTGTAACTTGTGATTGCATCATTCTCTTGTTACATATTAAGTTCAAGAATATATTGTAATAAGTCCAGCAAAGAGAATTAAAGACTGCAGACATACAACGAACAATGCAGCATATTGACCCTTCACATTAATAATTGTGTTTTAGTTGGAATCCAAAAGAACAATGCCATTCATCTTTCTTGTCCAAGGGGGATTTGGGTGAGCATGGGAATAAAAAATGGGACCATAATTCCATTTTGAAAGCCACTTTTTGGACAAACGGTTTTTAGAGCAATTTTAAGCACTCAGGCTATTGCTTGAGGATAGGCAAAGTCATCATGGCAGGAACAAGGCTTGTACTTGCTAAAGCTGCTAGGAATTGGGAATCCCACAATTATCCAGTGGGCTATACTTTTTGTGTTTCAAAGGTGCACATCTATGATAATTTAGTCTCTACAAAGATATTTCTGTGATAGTGTGCACTTGCCTTCAGAGCACATTTTTCCAGATTGCAGGTTTTGGTTTTGGCACCCAAAATTGGTGTATAAACAGGCCTTTCAGTTTTTGAAGAACTGCCCTCTTATTTGTCTGGTTGCTCTTCTCCAGTAAAAAGGGCTGGGAAGACTATAGGTGTGCAGAAGAAATGTATTTTTCCTTTTACCAGAGGTTTTATCTGCATAATTAAAAGCAGATAACCTGAGAGTGCTGGAAGATTTTCAACTAACACATAGAAATCAGTCAGTCAGTCAGTCAGTAGCCTTTATTTCGGTCAACAAACCATTGGCTAAGTCAAGTGAAAGTAGAATGATGAAATACAACAATAAACAATTAATAACATCACATTTGGCTTATAATTAATAAAAAAAAGTATCACCATTCGCTATCGGATGAATGGCTGTCTATATAATCTAAAACAGGAACTGATTGCAAGTTAATAATAAGTCTCCCGAGTACTCTTTGTTACACTCAGCCTTTACAGGTTATTCATGAAGCACTTGCGGCTTTTTGCCGCTGCAAACAGAAATTTGGCCACCTGTTCTGTTACCCTCTTATCAAGATCAGACAGTAAATAAGTGCAGTACCAACTTAGGGATCTTCCTGGCCACTTGGTGAGTAGAGGGGATATTAACCTTAGTCTATCATCCTTGTAAATTGTGCAAATAAAAAGTACATGTATTACAGTTTCAATTTTACCCTCCCCGCATGGGCAAACTCTGTGTTCGTAATCAGTCCCTTTGTATCTACCCTCTAGTATGGCTGATTTGAGGGCATTGAATCTGGCCCAACTGAAAGCAAGGCGAAATTTTGGGATGTTTAAATTTTCTAAGTATTTGGCACCTCCCAAAGAATTAAATGTTAGGCCTAAACTCAATGGAGAGCATGTGGAGCGCGCCAGAGTCATTGAGTCCTGTTTGTCTATGTCACTGATCCGTTCCGCTAAGATCTGCATTAACTTTTTATGCTCAAAACTGCTCAATATATTCTCTGAGAGGCCCATCTGCCCGAGTTTCTGATTTAGCGCTTTGATTCGGTGGGATTTAAAGAGGTCTTTTTGAATCAGATATGTATATCCCGCTTCAGGCCCTTTGTGCACCCTCTCCATCCAGTATCCTAGGGCCCTTCTCCAAGCCAGTAATTCAAGTGAGGCTGTTCCTGATTCCAGTCTTAAAACAGCAGATGGAACACAACTGGGGACAGCAAACAGTTTTCTAAGAAACCCTGATTGAACTTGTTCTACTTTAGATGTGAAGCCTGTGATCCATACCGGAATTGCGTATAATAATTGGGCTGTTACCTTTGCTTGGAAGACCTTTGTTGCTGCTGGTATATACTGGCCACCTTTGGTGTAAAAAAAAGCGAATTATTGCTTTACTACTGGATAGGGCATTTTGAACTGCCATTTTTAGGTGGCATCCCCAGGAACCTGAGGCTTGAAAGGTAACCCCTAGATATTTAAAACTGGAAACTTGTTCAATTAAGTTATTTCCTATGTACCAGTTATGCCTGGTTTGCTTCTTTGAGAAGACCATGATTTTGGTTTTACTATAGTTTATCTTTAGCTGGTTTTTTCTCACAGTATTGGTAGAATGCACTCAGCACTCGCTTGAGTCCTACCTTGGTGTAAGATATGAGGGCAGCATCATCTGCATATAACAATAGCGGTATATTGGTGGATGAGATTTTAGGGGGATGTCCATTTGGTAGTGAGACATGGGTGGCTAGGTCGTTCAGGAATAGGTTAAACAGAATAGGGGCCAGGATGCACCCCTGGCGCACCCCCCTATTTACTGCTATTGGTTTTGAGAGGTTGCCTTGTACTCCACATCTTACTTGTGTTGAAGTGTTTGAATATAAGCTCTTAATTAACCAGAGCAATCTTTTGTCAATTGTGGTCTTCTGTAGTTTTTGCCATAGTGAATTTCTTGGAATAGAGTTGAAGGCAGCTTTTAGATCTATAAACGCGGTAAATAGTCCTTTGTAGGGAGGGGCTTGGTATTTTTCTGCTAGGTGGCTTAACACGATACAATGGTCTATGGTAGACCTCCCTTTTCTAAAGCCTGCCTGTTCCTCACCTATTACTTTTTCTGAGTCTAACCAGTCTAGAAGCTTGCTATATAAATGGCGAGAATAAAGTTTGCCCACCACCGAGAGTAAACTGATAGGGCGGTAGTTCGCTGGATCGTTTTTATCCCCTTTTTTAAATATCGGGATTAAAGTAGATTTTGACCATGAGGCAGGAATTAAGGCTGTGCGGTTGATGTGTGTGAAAAGGGGGGCTAGGAAGGCCGTCCACCACGAGATGTTATTTTTTAGAAATTCGGGGGTTATTTGATCTGGCCCTGGGGCCTTACCATTTTTAAGTGATGAGATCGGAGTTTTTATCTCCCCACTGGTCACTGGGGGCCATTGTGGTGTGTCTATGGTACCAATGGAGAAGACTGCATTTTCTTTCCCCTCCCTTCTGACTGTTTCTTCATTTGATCCATATAGTAAAGTGAAGTATGTTTCCCACACCTGAGCTGGTATATGGCATTTGGGAGATGTTTTCCCAGATCCCAGCATTCCTGTGACCAGGGCCCAGAATTGCTTGGAGTTGTTATTTAGGGAAGCATCAACCAGGGCATTCCATTTTCTGTTTATTTTTTCCCTCTTGTTTCTCACTAACATGGCTTTGTATTGTTTTTTGGTAGTGTAGTACAATTTGGGGAGATTCCGGGAGTTTTCTGCTCTATAAGATTGATATATTTGAATTAGCTTCTTTCTTAGCTTTGAGCATTCTTTCTGTGTGTCTGAGGCCCTCTCTCCTTGGTTTTGGATCCTAAGTCTCCTTGGTTTTGGATACGTCCGTGCCTCCATAGAAATCATTGTTATTCAAGTGAAATTTTCTTTGGTAAATGGATTGACAAATCAAAAAGCCAAGTGCAGCAAAAGTGCATGCAGTATCTATGCTTTCACGTATATCCCCACCCACATTACAAATACAGAACTGATTATATTGGATATCTCTTTTGGGGAGGATAAAAACAAATACATGGCAAGTGACTGAAGGTATAGGGATATATAGAGTATATAGGGTAACACTGGGGCACTAAATTTTTAATCATAAAAGTGATGTGGCATCTACTTTTTCCCTTATAGTTTCATTTATTGCTGGGTGGGTAAACTTGAAAATAAATGGGAGCCTGAATGAAGCACATATATTCTTTGTTCTTTTCGAAAAAAGGAAATTTCAGACTGGAATTAAGTTAAATATGCAAACACATTATGTTAGCTGTATTATTGGTACTTTAAGTGTAAAGTAATCTTTACAAGTACACTGCAGTTCATCACACTTTTTTTAAAAAAAGAAATGGTTTGGAAACTGGACATGGTATTTCATTTATTTTTTAAAAAATGCTCAATTCGATTGAGCCATTGACATCAAAAATTGAAATTATTTTTGTTGGTTCATGTCACTTTCTTTTTTTTTTGTTTTTCTCTTTAGATTTGTCCTAGATCATCAAGTACACAGAAAGCTTCAGAAATAGTAGCCATGGTAAAGTTTTATTTTTTTAATTGGAAAATAATTAGGGCCTTCCAAAGTCAAAGGCTAAAAAATTGATAACATGTTCAACAGAAATAAATATATTTCCTATAGATCTCATCATACTACATTACAGTTAAGTCAGAATACCTCCTCTATAAAAAAAAAAGGGGGGGTGGCAGAAAACATACATCCAGGAATTTCCATTATACATTTTTCACAGTGAGGGCCAAAAGTGTTTTAAATAATTATTTTAGCATTGGGTTTTAAAATTTATTTTTCTCTTTAATTGTTTTTTTTTTTTGTCATGTCAGGAGTGACTTGAGAAACTGCAAGTCGCTTCTGGTGTGAGAGAACTGGCCGTCTGCAAGGATGTTGCCCAGGGGACGCCCAGATGTTTTGATGTTTTATCATCCTTGTGGGAGGCTTCTCACACAAGGAGCTGGAGCTGATAGAGGGAGCTCATCCGCACTCTCTCCTGAGACCTGTTGGTCTTCAGTCCTGCCGGTATGGGTATTTTACCCACTGCGCTACCAGTTTAAAGAGAATGAGGGTTTCTCTTTAAACTGAGAAACCCTCATTCAGACAGCATTACCATACGGAATTAAACCCAACCTTGAAATCCCCTACTGTTAATATTGTAAGCTTCCTAATTTGTTGGAGATGCTCTGCAAGTATTGCAGCTGTACTAGGCTAGCCATCAGAACAAGGTGGTGACAGGAGTAATTAGAATGCTTCTGCTACCTTCTGCTTATTGCTAGAAAAAGTACAAATGTTTGTATGTCTTTACAGCCTTTCCAAAACGTTACTGAAACAACTCTGCTGTATTGAGGAAAGGACAACCATATACCTGTCCTTATTGACTTCACGCCATTGGCAAGGTTTTTTGCTATTAGAATTCCCACGTGACAATGACAAAAGCAAAAATAAATAAATAAATAATGACTGTTATTTTTTTCTCATAACATATATTGGAAATGTAGGGTTTTTTTCTGCCTGTGAAAGTGTCTTTTATGCATTCTTTAACCTTAACAGGCTCTGCAGATGATATTTTAAACCACTTGTAGAATTGTTCTTGTTCCAGAACAACTGCATATTATCTACCCATAACATTTGTAATGAACAAAATTTGTTTGTTTGTTGGATTGATATCCCTCCTGTATCGTAGAATATTCAAGGCAGTTTACCAAAAATTCAGGAAATAACAGCAATTATTTTGATAAGAGTAATTTTTGCAACCCAAGGTTCACTTTATTCAAAAATGAAAGACGTCTCGTTATATGGAGCACATCTTTGTATCAGTCTCAGAATCTAGAAGGGAAGAAAATCATTTCCAAAATAATTTCAAAACAGCTGGAGCAAGAGAAAACAATTTTGACAAAGGGAATTTTTAAAGCTAGATTTCTATCGATATTCCTCTTCATGTGTTTATTTTCTCTTATGTCTTGGTAGCATGTTGCCCCCAAGTATTCATATACTCCTTTGAATGAGCTGAAAGGTGATACTGTTGTCAACCTGTATGGTGCTGTGAAATTCTTCAAGCCTCCATATGTATGCAAAGGAACTGGTATGTACAAATGAAAATAGAAAGATGTACATCCTTGATCTTTTGTTTTCTATTGATCTGTATGGGTGATAGGATATAGGACACTAGCTGATTTCTGATTATTCCTTTTTCATGTGCACCCTTGTATGTACACACAAACACTTGATGAGATTTACAAGCAGGATGCATGCAATTAAAAATCTTCTTGTTGCTCACTTTTGGTTTAAACTTAAGACAGACCAGGATGGCAATTGTGCTGATCATGGGACCCCTCTCCCTGTACCAAGAGAGCTTCACCATGCAAATGAAATAAAAAGTTAAACATAAGGAGACATAACACAAGTCCCTGTCGAGCTTACAACCGTTTTCTGGAATTTTAAGGTTGTTCAGAAGTGTTGTGTGAGAAAAGTCTAATGTCTTGTGGGAGTGTGTGTCCTGCTAGGCTTCAAGAGCCACAAAATGTTAAGTCTACACATGGCCGATGAGCCACACTTTCTCACTCTAAAAAAGATTAATAAAAAGTTTTATTATATATGTCGGCTTTCTGTATCATAACTGTTTAGAGAATTTGAATATGCATGTAGGTAATCTTGGGGTGCAAGATTACCTACATGCACTATAGAAGTTGTTTCCCTTTTCTTCATGCATGATAAAATTTATAGCCCATTTACTTGCAAACATCCCATTTATTTCATTTGACATCATTTCTTAGTTGGTATGGTTAATATTAGTTTTAAAGTGTGATGATAACTGAAAATGATAAATTCCAAACCATAGTTTGTGGATATACGAGTGACTTGTAAAGTATATTTTGATTTGTGAAATATCACTGTAAATACATAACGTGCTATGATAGTGTGCGTTCAAATCACTACCTACTTATGACAACCCTAAGACAGCCCTATGATGATCTTTTCCCTTTTCTCTGAATCTGAGAGAATGCGAGTTGTCCAGAGTCACCCAGTGGGTTTCCATAGAGTCTTGGGCCCAGACACCACAAAGAATAAGTATGGAAATAAACTTGTTATGAACTGCTATTATTGTTAGAAAGGGGTAGCATAATTTCTTCATGCAGTTGGAGAACAACCATTAAAAGGCACTTTTTGTGCATACTATTTGATGCATTAATGAGATATTTAAGGATTTTTCCCTCCCTTTCATTTGTGATGGGCTTATGGAGGAGCATAGTTGGTTGCTCACCATAGTTTGGACCTAGACATAGGCCTAAATCGAGTTACTAGATCCATATAATCATATTCATACTCCTATGAATTCCAGTGGTTCAATATTTCTGTTTTAGTTGGAGCTAACAATTAGGTTTAGAATTTAGTTATCCATAGGTAAAAGTGAAGGTTTTCTCCTGACATTAAGTCTAGTCGTATCCGACTCTGCGGGTTGGTGCTCATTTCCATTTCTAAGCTGAAGAGCTGGCGTTGTCCGTAGATACCTCCAAGGTCATGTGGCCAGCATGACTGCATGGAAGTACGATTGTGTCTGGATTTAACACATGTTTTTAAAATATATCTGCTTCCTTAAGTTTAGAATTGCCAATGACTTGAGCTGAAATATAAATGCACACATTCAAGAGTTTATGCTCTTAAATATAAAATTGTTGAAGTACACAGAGATGAAAGTTTTTCCAATTCTTTTTTTAATGAAAAATTCTGAACAAAGCACCATGAGTTACAATAATTTATATGTCAGATGTTTTAAAAAAGGATATGATAATTAAATTTGGGACTGAGTGTTAGTAATGGTCCATCTGCTATTACAAATATTATACCATATGTTTTGACATTTTTTCCTGGAAAAATGAAATTAAAATAAATAGCATTAGTTTCATCTTAAAATCACTGATAAAACTCAAATTATTCTAGTCATGCACTGACAGCCTATTCTGTAGTAAATCTTTTTCAGTTTTCTATCCCGATGGAGCAGGCTTTTTTTTTAGTTATCTGTTTTTGCAGGAATGTAATGCTAGCTGATAGACCATTTCTTAAAGGCTTGCTCTCATGAGATTTCCTAGAACAGTCTCTCTTTTCAGGTAATACTATAAAATGATTATCTCATATCAAGACAGACAGACTGTAGCAGTAACAAAAATTAATGTAATCTACAATTTGCAAAAAGCATGAGGACCATTTTATTTTGTTTATTCTGGAGTAAAACTATCTGTGCTCAGGGGTTGACTTCTTTATCTGAACCTGTGAAATAAAGCACCAGAAGAGGAGAAAATAAATGTTTTTCTCAAAGATTGATAGCATTCCTAGAGTAAGTATCTGACTATGCACAAATTTCTGAGAATTAAAATGTGTTCATTTCTATATAGACTACAGAGGATGTCTAGCCCACTCCCGAAGCATTTTGAATCCCTAAATCCATACTGGTGGCAATGGCATTTTGCTGGTATCCTATGATAAGAAATCCTGTTAGCTTGGGAAATATAAGGAAAAAAATCCACGTCTTTGTAAAAGAAATAAAGAAACTGCTAAAAATAACCATTGAAAAGAAGAAAACACTGGGAAGTAGAATTTAGGAAATCTAGAATGAGGGCAAATAGAAAGTTAGAGTAAATCAATGGCTGGGTTGTAAAGTAGAAAAAGGCAAATGATCATGGTACAATGAGATGAGAAGAAATTTAGACTGAAGTCTTTGAAGGACTCTACCAACAATCTTTTATCTGTATATATTAAGACATGGGAGAGAAATTAGTCCTAAGTCAGCTGGCCAAATTTCCATGTCTAGGTATTCAGTGCAGTCTCTACATCAGGCCTGCACAACCTGGCCCTTATAAAGAGCTAATACGTTAAAAAAAAAACTTTAGGCCACCCCTCCTTCCGCACTGTCGGAAGACATGCAAAGGGCCTACCAATGAAGGAGAAGTCCAGCCTTGCCCGTGTGACAGGGAACATGTTTGTGGAATACATCCGGCCCACATGTTGTACAGGCCTGATCTACATATATACAGTTTTATATGTGCTATTGAAAGCCCTGGACAATCAGTGTTCTTAGTTTGAAGCTTATATTTACAAGTTCATATTTGTAGGTGATTTACAGTCAGTAAGGTGAAGTGTACAAAAGGTGTGGCCTTCCACATTGTTTTTGGCTGTAACTCCCGCAATCCACCAGCAGGGACGATGCTGAAGAGCTTCCAAAAACAATTAACAGAACAATCCTATAAATCTCTATGAGAGGTATGAACCTTGATGTCCAGTAGGGCTTTCCTCCCAATAAGTAGGCATAGGATTGCTGGTTCTCAAAAGTTAGAACTGGACATTTAAAAAGTTTTTTGACAAATTTGTCTGGCCTTAAAATAGTGAAGCCTCCATCATAATGCATAACTTGGTTTATATTCCATTTCTAGAACTTTGCATTGCACTAGCAAAAGTAATATATTAGATATGCTTGCATCCTCATATGAACTTTCAAAGTAACCATGACTTTGACCCTTGGACTATGGGAATTTAACAATAGGAAACAAGAGATAACAGCTATAATTCTGTGAGGATTGTTTGCTTGTTTATAAAGGTACTCATCCATTCAACAAAACGTACTTTCAGAGCAATTGCTGGTGAGAGCTACACGTCCCACCCACCTGCCTCTCACCTTCAAGGTAGAGAGGCTTGCCTCCATTGCTCAGCAGGGAGAGGTGATCAGGCATGGCTACTTCTCCTACCTCAAAGAATAAGTAGCCCCTACTTTAGAAACCTTTAAAAAGTCTCAAGACCTGGCTCTGCCATTGCGCTTAGAAAGAGTAGTCACAACATTTTATGCTATTGCTCCCTCAACGTTCTTGTCCCAGGAGTTCTCTCCCACCCCCCTTGTACGAAGGTTTTTTTTTTAATTTTTATTGAGTTTCAATTTTTACAGCATTGTGAGGGGCAGAGAAGGGGGGGAGTAACAGGGGGTGGGGGCGGAGGGGGGGTATGAAGGGGAAGAGGTTGAGGTTGAGGGTTGGGGATAGGTGGGGGGGAGGGGGGGATAATTTTGAGGGCCCTTCACCAGCAGTTCTGTCCGTGATTGTGACTTCCCAGGGTCTTCTAAGAGTCTTCATCTTCAATAAAAGGTAGTCCGCTTCTTCAAATCGTGCGCTGACAATGTTTCTTTTCCTTATTCCTTCTAAAAATTGGTCAGATCTATTATAATTGAAATTTCTTTTGTTCTTAGGAAATCCTTAAAGCCAGTCCAGTCTGTTTTTTTGGTCACTCCGTTTATTCTTTGGGACAAATTGTCCATTTGTATTATGTCAAAAGCCTTTATAATCCAATCTTCTTGGGTTGGTACTTCTTTTTGCTTCCACTTTTTCGCAACCACTGTTCTAGCAGCTGTGCTTAATAAAAATAGAATTTTATCCTGATTTTTGTTCATTTTAGTTTCATTTGTTATTCCTAATAAATAAATCTCTGGCGCTAGTGGGAACTTCATTTTTAAAATTTTTTGAGAGGCCTGATGAACTTTTTTCCAAAATTTTTTGATTTTCTCGCATTCCCACCATTGGTGGAAGAAGGTACCTACTTTTTTTTTCGCATCTCCAACATTTGTTTGATATGTTCTGGTTTTTTTTAAAAAAAAATTGCAATTTTTTCCGGTGTGTAATGACAGCGATAAAACATTTTAAACCAATTTTCTTTTATATCGCTGGCAATGGTGTATCTGATTTTCCTTGTCCAAATTTCTTCCCATTGATTCGTCATAATACTGTGTCCTAAATCTTGAGCCCATTTTATTTGGCATTCCTTAACTTGTTCCTCTTCCGTATTCCATATTTGTAGTTGTTTGTATAGTAACTTTATTATTTTTTTATTTCTCTCCATAACTGTATCCCATAGCCCCCTTTTCTGTTCAAAACCTAATTTTTCGTCTTCTTTAAAACTCTCCCGAATCTGAAAGTAACTTAACCATGTAATTTTTGGGTTTAACTTTTGAAGTTCTTCATAAGATTTTAGTACCATCTTTCCTTCCTCATTTATCTTTAATGTCTGGTTATAGGTTAGCCAAATTTCTGCCCCTATTTCTTTTTT